TTCCTTCCTCTTCCAGACTTTATTCAAGAATTCAAGTGTGACACAAGTTTACAGACTGGGAAATGAACTTGAAACCTGTGTAAATAGTTCACATGTCTTAACCCATGCACCTGCTTCCTAGTAAGTAATTTGGGCCACCTTGAACAACAACAAAAAAAAAACACAAGGGCCACAGATCCACTATGGACAAATAATTTATGCAAGCAATAAGAATACAGTGTTCCAGACAAAGTCCTTTCATTTTACAGTTTATTATCCTTTGCGAGAAAGCAGGATCACAGGAACATCACTCCTTCTCTTGCACTTGTTTAAAAAAAAAAAACAAAAAAAAACAAACACCCACCAGGGTGCATGCTGGTCCTTCCACCCAAATTGCTGATTACTAACCAGAAACATAACTGAATAACTCAAACATTTTCTTTTTACTAATATATACACAAATTAAATAAATAACCTTAAATTCCAGCCCAAGCCCCTAAATCACACATTAAATAAAAATGTAATTAATAATAATAATAAAAAAAACAACTATCTCCTACACTAAGGATATCAAATTGAGATGTATTTGAAATCAGCATTTTTCTCTTAGCAGAGGTCAGGAATTCAAGAAGGATAAAAATACACTTTAGTTTTGATTGCTGCTTGATTTTATCAAGGAGATGTAAATGTGACATAAAGGACATCTCATTTTTAATGAGACCATTGCATTGAATTTAATGAATGGCCCGTAGCTGCTACTTTCTTATTATACCACATAGAAACTGCAAACCACATGTAGTTTTCAATCATTTTTCTTCCACTTCACATTTATGAGTTTTTATGAGGAACTGTAAGTTTATAAAAAGGGCCCTGTGACCTTTAAAACCCAAAGAGAATGTGGGTTTTTTTTTGCCCACAGTCCAACTAACTATTACTGTGATGGTCACACTGTTGGTAACGCCACACATAACCACTGTATCACTTTGGTTTTCACAATTGGCAGCATAGATATGCTGTCATGTTTATTTTTATTTTGACAGTATTGAAAGACATTGGTTCCAATTGTAGCACACACATTTGGTTAACTTTTACATATTTCCTTTTGTCAAATACTTAATGTTTTTTGTGCTTCCTTTTCTGGTGATGAGGGGAATACTTTCAACTATGCAAAGGCAAAGGACTCAGCCTTATACCATCAATCCTTCGATTGTCTGATTGACAGATTGGAAGATACCATCTGGAGTTGCTCTATGGGGGGATGACCATGGAGTCCTCACTTTATTTTTCTGCATATTTATCTCTCTTTTGATTCTTTTGATTTGTTCATTTTGTTACTTTTGTTTAGTTATAGTAATTTCAATGTATCTCTTAATCTAACAGTTTTGTTATTTTTGTAAAATTTGTCTAGATGTTCTCCCTACCTCTTCCTCAGTGTGTCAGTTTGGTCTGATCAGCCATGCTGCAAAAACCATCTAGAAATAAGTCAAAATGTCTTAAATTAACTGTATTTACCCTTAATTTGAGTAGGTTAATAAGATTATTTGCCAATGGAATGAGGATTTATACTCTTAAAATAAGGTAATTGGATAATATGCGCCTGAAATAAGACAGTGAAATTGTTTTTTTCTTATTTTAAATGTAAATTGTCTTGTTCCATTGGCAAAGTGTCTCACTTACCTCCTCAATTCAAGAAAAAATGCACTTATTTTAAGAAAAAGATTTACATTTTTTCCAGTGCAGTATTTAAGTCCCCTTTGTTTTTGTTTAATTTGTTTGTGTCAGGTTAGTATGAGTTTTTGTTATGCTTAACCTCGATATTTTTTGCCTTGAGTTAGTCTCTTCATTTGATCTCTTTTATGAGCCCTGTAATTTTTATTGTTTGAATTTTTGTTACTTCAGAGAAATAAAACTAATTTTTCTTGGAAATCACCACTGTGACCTCATGCTTGACTGGCTCGGTCCCTCACAGTTACTCAATCAGAGCTGCAAATGTTTTATGCCATTTTCAGAAAGGATAGCTTCTGATTTCTGACAGCTATGCATTTTTATTAAGTACCACCATTCTACTTATGTTTTTGGGGTTTAAAATGACACCAAAGCTTTTTTTTTTAAAAATAGGATGGATATCTTTTATTAGGGATGCTGATATTCATATAAGAAAATATACAGTTTCTAACAGAATAACAGGAAAAATAGACCTGAATTTGACTTAATACTAGTACTTGTAGCAATATTTTCTCTTAGAAGGTTGCAAGTACCCGGTTCGAACCCCATCAGCCTTCACTTTGGGTTTCTGAACAAGACTCTTAACCCTTACACTGCATCCTGGGCGCCACACAATGGCAGCCCACTGCTCCCCAAGGGTTAAATGCAGAGATAAATTTCTCCAAAGTGAGATCAATAAAGTTCATTTATTATTATTTTTGTTGTGAAAAGTCAGCCAAAGTTATGATTCATTCTGGAATTTCTAAATAGGTACCTGTGGTCTGTTAACCAAAATACAAATAAAATGCATTAATGCATTTAACAAGGAATAAGACAGAATAAAAAAAAAAATTCAATGGGTGTGAACACTTCAGCTAGTAGTTGTCTAGAAATACTCTTTAAAATCTCTCAGAGTTGCCTTCACAATATAATTAGTTTCCATTTATTTGCATTTAATAGAATTGTATTGCCTTAATATATATATTTGCATTTCTTTATTTTCTGACATCTAGGTTTTTAATCCTTGTATTATTAAAACATGCACATGTGGTGCTGCATAAACATCCAAAGGCTGCATCTATTCAACCAGCACCAATGTGCTCTTTAAAGAATGTCCTTGACTGTAGCTGCTTGGCAGGCAACCTTCAATCTGTCTGATCTATCAGCACCAAAGTATTTCATGCAAGGCATTCAGCTGGGGTCAACCTTCACAGACGCTGAACAAACAACTCTGATCAAGAAACATTTGAGAATATCTGGTAAATAAATATCTATATCATCACCATCATGTGTTCACTAACAGTAGGGACAAATAAACTGCCAGAAAGACTGAGAATGCTGCTTGAAAGTGAACAATAAAAACGGATATGTGAGAAGAAAATAGAAGCTACACTTACACCTACTGGCCACCTCTATATAACACTGATTCAGGGGCCTGTTTCTGTTTCTGTCTCTTTATTAAGCGGAGTTTCCAACTACAGAGCAGCTGGTTCATTTTATTTAAAAAGTTTTGGTTATAAAACTTAAATGTCTCCTATGAAACCCGTTTATTAAAATAGAAATTCATTAAATATGTGTTTAAACGCTGGTATCGTGAGAACACGTCTAAGAGGACGTGGAAGTTACGTCAATCTTATCTGCGCGAGCGCGTGATGCATTTGAGGACAGTGGGAAAAATTATACCCAATAAACGCCAAAGACAAACTTGACAAAGCTTTCAAGTGTTTTAAATACGATGGAGTTTTGCTGTTTTAAATGATATATATATATAATATTTTTATGAAGGTTTATATTCTACCCTTAGCTATTCAAAAAGGAAACATTCAGATCAGCAGTTTTTATTATTTATTTATGAATACTTGATCATATTTTTCTCTATTCTCATAACATTAATTTAAACCTACATTAATTTAATAATTCTTTGGGATCAATAAAGTATTTTTAAGTAGAATTCAATCTTTTTATTCCGCATCACATACTTCCAAATGTATTCTGGTTCATGTGGAGTATCTTGCCCCCAAATTCATTGTATGTGTAAAACACTGTTTAGTAATTGAAATTTTACTGATTCATACTCCCATGTATTTTAATCAGTACATTAAAAATATCAGTACATATAAACTTTTTTCAGTTATATTTTGCATTTCCTTGACTTAATGTCATGGCTGAAACATGTAGTTATAAAAATTAACTCACACATGTATTTATTGAATGCTTTCCTATTGTTTAGAACCCCCCCCCAAAAAAACAAAATGCACAGATATTTATATTTATAGATAGTTCATGTATAAACAAAAGGATGAACAGCTGATTCCAATGCCAACTGCGAGTTACCATGCCTCCCTAGTACATACACAATTTCAATTTCATTCATTCATCTCTCAATTCATCCAAAAAAAATTTTGGATTGATTGATTGGATGTCTTCCCTTTCAGCTACACTAGTGAATATCCTCCTTCAAAACAGCAAAATCAAATTTAGAAATTTGTCCCACTTATTGCCAAAGTCTACTTTTTGAAATTATGGATGGGGACTGTCCACACCAGTCCTTCAGAAAGTTATGCCTGCGCCACAACCTGTTTCAGAAAGAAAGCTTGGAGCTCCGACCAGCTTATGAAGGTCGACCAGCTCCACCAAACAGCAACCTGAGGCCACTTTGACATTCTGCCCAGTTTGATGCTGGTGCTAAAATATTTCCTTATTTGTCAAACCAGAGCCAAAGTATAACTTCACATGATGCTCCACATTCCTCATTTTAGAGAAGAAGGTGCTTCTTTTAGGAGTTGTCATAAAATACAACTTGTTTTTCTTAATCTTAGAACTTTATTTTTTTATTATTATGACTTTATTCTTGTAATTTTATGACTATTATAATTGTGACTTTATTATCCTAATTTTATGACTATTCTCGTAATTTTATGACTTTATTATCATAAATCTACGACTTTATTATTGTAATTTTATGATTTTATTCTTGTAACGTTACCACTTTATTCTTGAAATAGAAGTAAAATAAATCGCTAGCCTGGCCCTAATGCTCCTTTGTAATGGAAGACCAGGAGAATCACTTAAAAAGAAAAAAAAAGGCCTTTCAAATTTAGCATTTAAATCATTCAATTACAGTAGAAATCAATTCTGAAAAGTGTCTTTAATTGCAAATTTTAAACTCAACTATTAAAGAGAAACTGTATCAAATACTGCAATTTGAAAACGTTTTTTTTTTCTTCAAATCAGTTGTTAAATAGAGATCCAAAAACCGCGTTTCACATATGACAAATGGCTGTTTTCTCCTTTTCAGTAGGTCTCCTGGTCCTCCATAGATTTTGGAAGCTGCAATGTCCGAGCCCGCAGGGGGAACATGAATGCAACAAAAGTTCAGTCCTCTTGAGTTGCTATTGAGCTACAATCATGGAGGAAAAACAAAGCAAAACTCACAGCGACTTCTCTCCAGGTGAAACTACATTCTTTGAACTTTTTTATCATTATTGTATTGAAATAAGGACGTTAACCCGCTGCAACATTTGTGTTTCATAAAGCACCGTTAGCTTGTTTACTGACTGAAATAGAGGCAGAACTGATCAGAGGGGACAGCTGTTGGAACTAATGCACTGCTGCTGTTATTGGATTAAAGCGTTTTGTAGCAATAACCGGAAAATGTATTTTAATGAAAAGACGAAGCGAAACTGAATAAGTGGGCCGCCGTTAAGCAGCTGAATTCAGGTCAGCTCATTAGAGAGATAATGAGAAGTATAAACTTAGACTTTAATCCAGTTTTTATAAATAACACAGTAAGAAACAGGCTGCATTATTAACTCAGGAAGTTCAAATCTTTTTAAAATGGAACCGTAATGTTATTTTGACTGACTAAAATCATTGGAAAAGACTATCCACCGAGCTGCACATGAATGTTTTCAACGTAATAAACCAACATTAAGGCAGAGCTTTACTCCAAAAGGAAATTCAATTAAGTTTAATTTAGTTTATTTATATAGCGCCAATTCACAATGTCGCATCCACATGCCATCTTAAGGCACTTTAAAGAAACAATTCAACCAGATCACACAGTCAGATTGATTCAAAGTTTTCTATCTAAGGAAAATCAGTTGATTGCATCGACTCATTGACTCCAAGGCAGTCCCTCACACTAAGCATGCTTGTAGTGACAGTGGAGAGGGAAAAGTCCCTTTTAACAGGAAGAAACCTGCAGCAGAACCAGGCTCAGTGTGAGCGGCCACCTGCTGAGCCCGACTGGGGTTCAGGGAGACAGAAGAGGAGATAGAAAAAAGAAGCAGAGATACAAAAGTTAATTGTCAGTTAGCCCCATCCAGAAAACACACAGCCAGGCAGAGGAGCTCCAAGCCAGCTCCCATGTCAGAGGATGAAGAGAGCACATTCGGTTAGTCACAGTCAGAGAAACAGGACTACACTGGAAAAACAGGCCAAGCTCCAACATATATAAACAAAGCTGATGGTGGCAGCAGCACAGATGACATTTCTCTCTGGGCTGGTGTCACAGCCAAACAGGTACAGACCAGATGCAGCTATCATGAAAAAAGTAAAGAGAGAGCATAACATTAGAGTTTAAACTAACATATACTGCAGAATGGGAGAATAGAATGATGAAAGGGGGTCCCTATGTCCTCCAGCAGTCTAAGCCTATAGTAGCATATCTATACAGGATGCTCAGAATATTTTTTTGTATTACTCTCCTTCACAAATAAAACATCTATTAAAGATAGCATAAAGATTGTACTGAAAAGATTGTAGATGAACCCCTCCTTAACACATGGTGGTGGAAACAATATGCTGTGGGGTTCAATTTGAAACATTTATTTGAAGTACATTTGAATTTGCAGTAAAAGTGAATAGATTCTGTCCGTGGTGCTGAATACAAATGTATACTAATGCATCATGTGACATGGAGTCATGTTTGCTTTTTTTCCCACCATGTGTCTAATTCTTGTTATGTTATTAATCAGTCAACCTTGTCCATTTATCACCTCGCGGAGCAGGGAAGGAAGATCACGGCCCGGAGGACATAATCAGCCGACAGCTGAGCGAACAGAGCCGCTTTGCTTTTGCTGCTCTGTGCAGTGTCTCCTTAGGCCAGTTGTTCGCTGGATCTGAAAACAGGTGTGTGGGCGATCGTATCGCATCATCAAATCCTGAGTCCTGTTTACTGTAATTAAAGCAGCATTCTTGTTCTTATCTCTTCCTTAGGGTGTTTAGGGAGCAGTACTTGCAGAGCTTGGTCCAGTGGCTGGATCTGGATGAGTCGGTGATGCCAGTTATGGGGGCTTTCCTGTCTGGTCTGGGTTTCGAGGGCATCGATACCTTTCTCTCCATCCTACAGGCTGATCCATTGGTGGCTGCAGGAGCCACACCCATCATACAGGTGTTTGACGCTTTAATAAAGAAGGAAATGGTGCTGTACTATAGCTGCTTTTATGATAAAACATGTAAAGATTAGTTAAAAATCTGAGTTAAAAGTGGTTTGTTTCCACTCTCACCGTTCTGCTCACAGCAGATGTTGGAAGATAAAACCTCGGTCATCGTCCAGCCTCGTTTGTCACAGTTGCAGTTATTTAGATTATTTTATAAATCATTGCTCTGCTTTAGCTTCATTAATTCCCTTAAAACCTTGATTTTTAAAATCCTCCATTTTCATGGTATTTACTCTACTGTTTAAAACAATCATGTATTGAATGTTCCAGTTGCTTTTATGCAGAATCTGAAAGCAGCAATTATTCCTTCTGCTGCTGATATTTCTAAAAGCTTGTAGCTTTGTTAAAAAACGTGATTAGGATTTTTTTTTTTACACACAATTTTCTACCAGTGGTGCTAATAAGTGTGGAGGATGGTTAATAACACCTTTTGTTGGAAACTGGGTTATTACAAAATTAAAATAATGTCTGTGAATTATTATTAAGAAAGGAGAGCAAATGATGTCCTATCATTAGCACAACACAAGGACGGAAGATTATGCTTGTAATAGAACCAAGGTATAAATGGGAGTCAGAGATTTACTTAAAAATCTAATTAGGAGTAAAAAATAGAGTCTTTTGTGTGTCTGTTGTGTTAAAGATGAAAAAAAATTTCTTCTTTGAAGAAAAATGAGAATATGAACACATTGAAACAAATAGTAGAAAAAGAGCATTTTTTGTCCATTTCAGTCGGTATGTGCATACATTGGTCGATTCATTAGTGCATCTAAAAGCTACACATTATCAGAAGGTGAAGTGCATGCACTGCTGCTCCCTGCATTTGTTATCCTGTAGAGTGAATTTTGCTCCATTATTGTTGCATGAAAAGAAAATGGAAATTTGAAAAAGGTTTTGAGAGTTAGCTGTTTTCTCAGATTTAGTTTTTTCATACTTTATTGTTTTCCATTTTATTTTATTTTTTTTTTTCAAAATTATCTTTTTCAGACTAACTTTTATGAATAGCATCCTTTTCAACATTGCGTTTTACAGATCACTCCCTTTATTTCTGGGCGCAGGCTTTCCTATGTAGTGAGGAGTGAAGAAGCATGTCTATTGGTCTGCTGGACGTTAGTAAAATTCGTACAACTCTATCTGAAAGAGAAATATAAATAAATTCAACAGTTAAACAATAAAAAAAAAGCTTGAAAGAATAATATATAAAAAAAAATTTTAAAAAGAAAATCTAAAACAAGCAAAGTAATTTCAAAACCTTTTTTCTGAGTATGAAATGTTTTTTAAATTTTTGTTTGTTGTTAATGTTTTGTTTCATTTGTTAATATTTCCTTGTTTTTTGTTTAAACTGAGTATCATGTAACATTCATCGTGTTATGATGAATGGAAGAAAAGGAAATATTTGCTCCAAGAATCAGCCCAAAAATTTCCTCAGCACATATTGAGGATGGTTAGAATTATGACAGATTAATCAGTATCTGTTGGAAAAACCTTTATCATATGGAGCTAAATCTGTAAAAAATTGTATTGAAATATAATACCAGATTTGGCATTGGAAATTTAAACACTGACATTTCAAACATTGGAAATGGAAACACTAAATATTCAAACATTAAAAAGTCAAACATTCAAATTACTCCGTAAAAAATTCTGACAACGCTGTCATTCTCAGATGAAGCATATTTTCCATGAGAGAGGAAATGTGTGACTGGCTGCAGAGTTGCTTAAAGGTATAGTGGAGGATTTTCACAAAGTTTTGAAAAGCCACGCCCTCTTCAGGGTTGTGCACATTTAAAACCCTGTACCCGCTCCAGAGAGGGAAATGCGTGCGAGAGCATGCACAAACCCATTTCTCCTTGTGCACACTCGCTCATACAAACTTACTTTCCAAAAGAAGATTTGCAATTTTTCCACTATGTCAGACTCATTGCCGGTAAAATAAAATGGGGACGAGCTCGTAGGACAGCCTTACATTAACATATCACCAGAATGATTGACAATTAGGAGGATCACTTATTTTGATGATCCACCCAGAAAAATAACATCCTCCACTATACCTTTAAACTATGATGTCACTACAAGCTGGTACTGGTTTTGAATCAAGGGGGCGGGGCTAAACTGAAGCCTTCTTCGGGGTCCTTCACTGATTTCACTCCATANGGACAACAGAAAAACATGAGAACTAATATAAATCTAGAAATACAACAAAACTGGAATTAGGCCAATAAATCTAGAAAACAAGGAGCAAAGAAAAGAACAGCAGAACCAAGACCATGACAATACGGGTACAGGGTTTTAAATGTGCACAACCCTGGAGAGGGCGCTCCAGGGTTGTGCACATTTAAAACCCTGTACCCGCTCCAGAGAGGGAAATGCATGCGAGAGCATGCACAAACCCATTTTCTACTTGTGCACACTCACTCATACAAACTTACTTTCCAAAAGAAGATTTGCAATTTTTCCACTATGTCAGACTCATTGCCGGTAAATTAAAATGGGGACGAGCTCGTAGGACGGCCTTACATTAACATATCACCAGAATGATTGACAATTAGGAGGACCACTTATTTTGATGATCCACCCAGAAAAATAACATCCTCTGCTATACCTTTAAGCTATGATGTCACTACAAGCTGGTACTGGTTTTGAATCAAGGGGGCGGGGCTAAACTGAAGCCTTCTTCGGGGTCCTTCACTGATTTCACTCCATAGATATTGCAAGCTCTTGTTTTCTTCTTGAAATGTAGGTCTTCACTTAGCTTAGTTTGAATCTAAACCTACTAGATCACTTGTCATTTTATACAACCAATAGATAAAAACAAAATCAACAACCTTATTTGTGGCTGAGCAGCAGCACTTCAGCTGGCGCCCTTCGTTAGTTTACTGCAGATAGATGGCGAGGTACCGGGAAAACAAAAAAAGTACCCTGAAGGAGGCTTCAGTTTAGCTCAGCCCCCAGGATGCAAAAGTAGTGCCAGCTTTTAGTGAAATCATAGCCGAAAGTCACTCTGCAATCATCTCTCATAAAAAAAAAAAAAATTATCTAGCTACAAATCACAGCTTTATCATAATTTTTTTTTTTTACATTTTTTATGTTAATTTTTATTTTTTTTGCAATTGAATTTTCAATATTTTAATGTTCAAGGTTTTAAATTTCATTGTTTCTATTTTCAGTGTTTGAATTTTCAATGTTTACATTTTCAATGCTAAATCTTACATTTAATGCCAATTAGGGCTGGGTATTTTTCGCCAAAGTCCTGAATCGTTTAGTTTTTGATTCCTACAGTTCTAAATCGATTAATTTCGATTCAATTTGTTTTTTTTACAATAATGAAAGTGGTTCAACTGTGTTTCAAAATACTCATGTATTTTGTTTTTTCCTGTCACATTAAACACGAAGTGCAAACTTGTAAATCAGACAGTTTAAACGAGATGTTAACAAAACTGTCTCAAAAGTGCAAACTTGTTTGTGAAAAATGAAAAAGTGAAGCCTCACTCGAGCAAGCAGACATGAGACAGCAGACATGCATGAGCTGCATTATCTTCTCTGCACAAACCATATTTGCAGCGTTGTCTGTATCAACTACAGGGTGTTTTCAAGTCAGCCCCCATTTGTTAATGTCTTCAGTCAACCTATGGGCTATATTTGCAGCTGTCTGGCTTGAAGTCATCTTGAGTGCATCTTTCCTGCTTATTTGAATGTGAACGTCATGTGGGTCACTATAAAATGAATCAATCTCCTTTCCCTAGACATCGATTTTGCAAAAATGTAAAGGAATCGATTCCAAATCGGTTAAATCGATTTTTTTACCCAGCCCTGGCGCCAATGCAAGCTGTCACTGATTTAGCTCCATATTACCGATTGATCTCTTGATGACAGTAAGCGATCCTGAAATGAAAATAAGATAAAGTTTCATGTATTTTCTGTTAATCAGATCAATAATAATGTTAAGTTACACAAAGGGTCTATAATAACACATTTTTAGGTATACTTTTGGACAACAAATTTAGTTTACAAACTTTATGTAAAAGTTGTGCATATTATAAATGTCTCTGTGGTTTTGCCTTATTTCTCATGTTGCTCAAAAATACTGGGAAATGCAAATAAAATATATATTTTTTTACATATTTGTACAGTTACAAAACAAAGAAACAATTGGACCCAATAATAAAATGGGATATAACAAACCAGTAACTAAACCTTTTGTTCAAAGGAACACTTTAAAAATTAAAAACACTGCATATAGAAAAATATAAGAAATAGCATGCAAAGCATTGAATCTAAGTCTCCCTTCTGGAATTCAGAACCTGTTTGAGTTAAAAACAGAATAAATATCATTTACTGATGGTATTTTTGAACATGCTAAGGAAAAAATGATATAACCTCTTATATCTGTGATTAGGTATGTTACATGTATGTTTAATGTTATGTCTGGACGTATGTTTATGGAAAGTGATTTTTTTTCTTTTGTAGACTGAGAAAGACCAAAACCTTTATGGTAAATAATTGGTTTGATTAGTAGCTCTTTATTATTAATTTATACGTCAGAAATTTACCAAAATAATTTGAATTAGACAGAAAACAAAAATGGCAGTGGACTGACTTTCTGCTCTAACCAGCTCTTCTCTTCTTTTCCAGGATCTGGTGTCTTTGTCTGTCAAAGATGGTGAGGAACCTATGACATCACATCTGTTGGTACAGATAAAATACTAAACAAAAGTTATCCTAAGATGGTGATCTTTGGTTTGTCCCTATCAGGTCAGTATGATGCCAGATCCAGAGTCCTGATCCGCCATGTTAGCTGCCTGCTGCGAGTGTCCCCGCAGCAGCTGGAGGAGTTTGAGGAGACGCTTGGAGAGAGGCTGAGGGAAGCAGTAGAGGAGAGCGAGTAAGATGGATGGATGGATTTATTTATGAGAGAGCTTAGAAGTTTTATCTAGGAGGGATTGGAGGAGTCGGATCAGTTTAGCTTTATCTCGCTGTTTTCTCCAGAGAGGAGTCCTCCCGCCGGCGGAGGAGAGAAAGAGGACGAAAGTTAAGACGCTACCTTCTGATTGGGTTGGCCACTGTGGGAGGAGGGACTGTGATTGGTGATTATTTCTGCTCATTATAGCAACAATATTCTCTAAACTAGAGTCTATGTGAGGTTTTCTACATTCTGTAACCATGTTTTTTTTTGCCAGGTGTGACAGGTGGCCTGGCAGCCCCTTTGGTGGCAGCTGGAGCAGGTGCCGTCCTGGGGGCCGGGGGGGCCGCTGCACTGGGATCAACTGCTGGCATCGCCATCATGGCTTCTCTGTTTGGGGCCGCTGGAGCTGGACTGACTGGTAAGAAAACTCCACAAAAACACAGAGAGAAACCCTAAATGAAAGTAAAAATAAACAAATGGGTATATAATAGAGAAATTGCTGGGTTTTAAGGTAAATAAATAAAAGATCAGGGTCTGGATGAGATTGCATTGTTTAAGACAACAGCAGCTCTTATGTAGAAGCAGTTTTCTTAGACTGGGAGTCATAATATGTAGTCGGTGAACATTTTAATTGAACACCCCTCCTTGATTCTTCTTGATGCTTGATTTTCCCTGCATCCTCTCTGAAGGCTATAAGATGAACAAGTGTGTTGGCGCCATAGAGGAGTTTGAATTTCGACCCATGAGCTCCGGGAAGCATCTTCACCTGACCATCGCAGTGACGGGCTGGCTCTGTAGTGGTAAATATAGTAAGTAAAGGTTCCGCTTTCTGCAAACAGGTTTGGAGGGTTGCACTTTAGGAACGATAACCAGACGTTTGTCATTTTAGAATAATGCACATTCAGGGAACCGCAGGGCTGGGAGACATATATTTGACATTTTATTACAATGTTTGGGGATGCTATCATAACTATAAGAGAAGATGACAAAAAATTTACTTCTTTGCAGTCTTTCTCAGCTAAATGTTTGGCTATAACTGCTTACAGTATAATTCACAGCCCCATAATCATTGATACTACTGTTAAAGAAACACATTTAAATTCAGCTTCTTCAGGAAACCAGATGCATAAAGAAATATGATTTACATCTTTTAATCAAATTCTTTAAATTGTTCACTGCATAAATACAAGAAAATGAAAGAAAAATAAGAAAAGTGGTTAAAAAAAAAAAAATCAGATAATTCCCCCATTTTTTCAGGAATTTTAATCATCATTGATTTGACAATAAATCAAAAATACTTATGACTAGAAACTTTTCACAAGATGAACAATATGGTAAATGCTTACCACTAGTACTGGAGATATTTTTTTTATTTTAATTAAGCCGCACTTTGTTATATTGTTTTAAGGTTAGTTTAGTTTCTTTACATTTCATCAAACAGTGAGGGTTTATATTTGATGAAATCTTAAGGTAAACCATCAATAGCATGCCATAAAAACGTCTCTAAGGGCTCATCTGTCCTGTTTAGGCAAACGGCATGCAGGGTCTGGTTGCTTTGGTGACGGGCATATTTCGTTATATTAAAAGGGGGAAATTAAGATATTCCTCCAGGTACAGAATTTGATTAATTTAATTAACGTAGTGACACATATGGTTTAGCAAGGAAAGTAGGAGCTAGATACAAAAACATGGTGTGGAAAAAGGTTTAAAGAGGACTGGAAAAGATCAACAATTACAGCAAATGGTGAATAAAAGGGGGACACCCCTATCAAGCCACTGATTAGCCCACAGGTTTCAGAAAAACTGCAGTAAAATATGACAGAAACATGAATCAGGCTTTCTGCAAGTCATTAAAAGTCATTAAATTATTATTTTTTAAATTAAAGCCTTAATTGGCATTAAAACGCATTAAATGTGATTATTGTGGCATTTAAAATGCCTTATTTAAAAAAAAAAAAAAAGTTTATAAAAACAATTTTGTCAGATATATCGCGATATATTTGCATGGAACTGCTTCCGATTGATCGTAAAGCCGTTTGTTCGGGAAAGAAGCTCAAGGCGGAGAAAAAGCTAGAGAAATGGAAATTTTACATTTCCACAAAACTGGCTGGAAAACGAGGAATTCGGGACCTGGCTGCAGCCTGTCGACGGTGAAGATGACAAAATTTTGCAGAGTATATATGAGAGTCATGAGTACTTGTTGATGTCATTAAAATTATTTCTAAGAGCATTAAAAAACATTAAATAAGAGTTACTCCTTCCTGTATAAACCCTGATGAATAAATAAACCAACAATTTCATCACAACTGATCACACTACAGACAAGTTCTTCCCACATTTATAATATAACATTTGATCGTTATAAAATGCACTAAAAACTGACTGAGTTGCCATAAAATGTTAAATGATGGTGATTAAATTTCCATTTATATTTTTACATCACATTGTTATTTAAATAACATTGACACACCGGAGACATTGAAGCTTTATATGAAAAAAACTGACAAATAATTACAGCAAGTGCACAAAAAATCCTGCACATATTAGCTTTGATATTTAGGTGATTCAATGAACTTCAAAGGTTCATCTTTGTGCATTACATTGTTAATTCCTGGGAAGAAATTAGCATAGATAAAGAGACATTAAATGCACAATATTTTGAACTCTATCTATTGTTTCTATGTGTAATTAAAAAAGAAAAGGCAGATTAAATTTATGCTTTTGCATAAAACTGTGCGCCTCCCTTCCTCTGAAACACTGTCAAAAGCTTAGTGTCCCCTTCACTAACAATGGCTGCAAAAGCACTCGGCATTCAAGGACCACCTGGATGTTCCCCTGAAAACAAACAAATAAGCTAAGCTAAGCTCCATGGGCGACCGTGCCTTCTGCTCTGCCGCTCCTCAGACCTGGAATGCCCTCCCTGATCATCTGAGGGAACCACAGACTATCCAGACTTTTAAAAAAGGATTTAAAAACATTTCCTTTTAGCAGAACTTACGACTTTTAACCTTTTATAATTATGCCACCGACATATTTATTTATATGTACTCTGCAATGAAGCTTAGTTTTAAATTTATGATGAATTTACCTGTAGCACTTTGAGATTTTTATTAGATGTAAAATGCATAACAAATAAGATTTATTATTGATATTATTAGATCTGCTGTTTCCAGATTCGTTCCAGGCCCCGTGGTGCAGCCTGGGAGACTGTGGAGACCAGTACTGCTTGGTGTGGGAGTCACGTTTCCTCAGGGACCTGGGCTCCGCCATGACCTCTCTACTGGACGGACTGGTCAGCATGATGGCTCAGGAAGCCCTTAAATACACAGTGCTGTCAGGTACTTTGACCTTTGCTCATTAAAACCGTATCTAGAGGCAGATCTGTTCTGGATCTATTTGTTTTCTGTTTCTGTCCTCAGGTATTGTGACGGCCCTGACGTGGCCTGCGTCTTTGTTAGCTGCTGCCAGCGTCATCGACAACCCCTGGTGCGTTTGCCTGAACCGCTCAGCTGAGGTGGGCAAACACCTGGCTCAGGTTCTGAGAAGTAGGCAGCAGGTATGTTGGCGTTTAGTCTCAATAGTTTGACATTTTAGGAATATTTGCTAACTTCAACCTTGCTTTCTCTTTCTGCTTTAGAAAAAAAAATAAAGCCTTTGAGTTAGATTATTTAATTTGCTCTTAACCGTTGTATGTAGCTTTATTCTATTATTTTGTCCGCATACGAAAAACTGTTCCACGGTGGTTAGGTGAGTAGTATTTTTCTGAGAAGTGGGTTTTACTAATAAAAAACCAAAGTTTTACTGTGGAATCCAAAATGTGTGGTTTAGTTGTTCAAATATACATTTCTTACATAAAAAAAATTAAAAATAAACCTAACCGTAGCCATAGTACCCAGAGAGAACCCACGAACATGCAAACTCCATGCTGAAAGACCCTGGACCGGGTATCAAACCTGGAACCTTCTTGCTGCAGCAGTGATACCCAATGCACCACTGAGCAGCCCCACATCAGTTACCAATATATCAATTCAATTCAGTTTATTTATATGGTGCCAATTCACAACACATGTCATCTCAAGGCACTTTAGAGAGACGATTCATCAGATCTTCCAATCAGATTGTTTCAGCGTTTTCTGTCAGAGAAAAACAAGCTGATTGCAACAAGTCATTGACCCTGCAGCAATCCCTCACACCAAGCATGCATATTAGCTGTCTTTTAAAGATGAGGTGAAGAGTTAGTAAGAGAAATAGTTTTCATTTTTTGACAGCAATGAATTGACAGTTAATGACACAAAGATGTGTTGTATTGCTTTGCTCTAAAGAGCATAGTGAGCTCTTTGAGGGGCCTAAGAAGAACTCTAAAGGATGGATTTAGAAGAGAAGACAATTCAGCTTCTGATGGGAAGAGAGATGTGGTAACAAAGGAATACGCTTTCACTCTGGAGGGAATGCAAAATAAAATCTCTCAATGGCAAGGGAAAACAGTCAGTTTTGCCAAATTTGTAATCACACAGCGTGCATATAGCAGGCAGGGCAGATCCAGACATGAATAATCAATATACCTGACCTTTAATAGGAGATTAGACGCACAGAAAACAGATCAAGTAAAGTAGCCCCCCCTGGAAAAAAAAAAGGTGTGACAGAGCAGGAAAGTATATCACTTATCGCTCTACTCTCTTTATAAATAACAACACTGCCCTCCCAGCTTTCCTTTTTAAACCATCCCACAGCCTTTACTGCTGCATTTTCATTCCTTTAAACGTTGTTTCCGTTATATTTTTTAATAAATCACATGCTTTGCATTTGTGCATTTTGTTTTTATGTCTGAATGTTTGACTGAAAGGCAAAACTTAAAGAGGCTCCTGCCATGGTTGGTTAGCCATGCAATGGAGGACTTAGGTACATTTTAGTAAATCTTGTCCTGCAGGATAAATACGTGGTTTTCTTGAAAGATGGAGACTTCCTCCAGCATCACTGGTTGCATGAAGCTCCCACTAAAAGCTGTCAGTATTGATTGGGAGCTGATTTTGAGTCCAGAAAGCTCCAAGGAGCTCACCTTTAATGTAACCAACCAGAGGCTCAAGCTGCACACTTTTCTGCCTTTAAGTTTGTATAGCAGGTTAGAAAATATGCAATTCAATGTTTGCACTGAAATATTGTAAAAATTCTTAATTGACTTTTTTTCTGCTTATTTTAAAAGGGAAAGCGGCCTGTCAGCCTTATAGGCTTTAGTCTTGGGGCTCGAGTCATCTACTACTGTCTGCAGGAGCTTGCCAGTGATAAAGGTGATTTAATTTCAACTGCAGTCGTCTTGTCTGCTTTTAAATAAAAAGCTAACTGAAGATGAAATATTTTCAAATGTTTTAAATCTTCAGGTAGTGAAGGGATGGTTGAGGATGTGGTCCTCCTCGGGGCGCCTGTAGACGGTTCTGAGAAGTCCTGGGAGAAAATGGTGAAGGTGGTGGCAGGAAAAATAGTGAACGGCTACTGCAGGTAAACGATCACTAATTCTTTCTTCTAAATTTTGAAGATTGATCAGTCGGTATTCGCAGCTGTTTGTGGCAGAGCATCAGTAAAAGGCTTTCTGTAATTTTCCACCTGTCAGAGGAGACTGGCTGCTGGGCTTCTTGTACCGGAGCTCAGCTGCACAGCTGTCTGTTGCTGGGCTGCAGCCAATCAACATCCAGGACCGGCGGATAATTAATGTGGACCTCTCATCAGTGGTGAGTCCTCGTACATTTCAAATAGAATAAAGGCAAGGAAACTTGAATTTAGCTTTGTTGGCAAATTTTTATGAAAAATTTGAGAACTGAAGGTTGTTTAAACAGACTAGTAAAAAATACAAATCTTTCAGATATTCATTCAAGGTTGTGCCTTTGCAAACTCTGAGTCATCCTGGTCTTAGCACCCACTTCAGGATTAAATCAAAGGAAACAGGATTTTTACCTTCGACATCTATGCAGGATGTGGTCTGGATAGCAGGACAAGTCTAGAGCCTTCAGTTTAAACCTGTCGTAGATAACAAGGTACTTATGATAACAGCAAACTGACCCTGATCTCTCGCTTTAATGTAAATTACTTTAATGTCTAATAAAAAATAATGATAATAATAATCACATTTCATTTACAAGAGGCTTTCAAAACACTCAATTACCTAAAAAATGAAATTTAAAAACACCAGTAAAAGAAAAAAAAAACGCAACAACAAACCAGATAAAACATGCCATGTTATGTTTTCTTGTTATTTAAACTCCTTTAATTGAGTTTGTTATTTTTCTTAAATTGTTGGCATCTTTTTGACTTTGGGTAATAAGAATAAAATGAAAACAGAATGCTAATCTAATATCCTGATAGCCTGAAAGCCTGAAAGCAGAGGCGTCACATCAGTGGGAGCTGTGGTCTGTTGAAACATGAACATTTCAGTCAAATGCAAAAAATATCAACCGATATGTACAATGTATGAAGGACGCTGATGAGGCAACATCTTCATTTGGATGTAGAATTTTTAAAGGAAAAGTCCGTCACAGAATTCAAACTTCTGAAAGTACTCCAAGTATGAAATTATTACATACTTTTCAATAAATGATGTGTTTTTAATTAAGAGTCATTTTCATTTGAATGGGCTTTCCTGGAGACATCCATGTTTGTCAAAGAACACTACTGCCACCTACTGGTTTGTGACGTCACAGTGCGGCATCGGCTGTTGAGCAAGTCCCAATGCTGTATCTGGTTATTGTCGCAATGCGCTATTATCCATGATGGTGACGACCAGTGCATTATGCGAAGCAGAGAGTAACGGATTAATGACGTGTTTTTTCTCTGGCAAGAAGTTTGCCAGAGATAACTTTATCTTAGTTTCTGTCCTTTCCATTCAAAAACAGCAAAGTGACAAAGATCACTATATTTTTAATCAGGTTTTTTGCTTATATGTTCATTATATACTTTTAAATATTTTTAGATTGCATATGCTAATACCATTTCTGTTTTTATTTTGAGCCTTGAAACTAATTTCCCCCAAATTTACATAATTAATGAGCAGTTTATAGACAATTAAATTTATCTAAGTAGACACTGAGCCAGCATTGCCCTCTAGCACCTCATACTGTAGCATATATAATTTGATAACAAGCTCAGATATTTGTTTGTTTTTATATAAATATAGATCACTGCAATGCATTTACACAAATGAGTCTCCAAATTTGCAGCAATCAAAGGCGTAACTTTCTGAAGTACAATAATCTCTGCTTTTTCCCCACTTTCTGGGCTCATTAACTTTAGCCAAAGGGAACAGAGGTTGGGTGCAGCTATCTGTGTTCAGAGCGTTTTCAGTCGTTTTCAGTCCGTTTTTTTTTCCTCTCTCCCGCTGCTCCCGTGTCCTGCCTCTCGATGTTGACATCTGATTTGCAGTCGCATTTCACTGCGTGCAACTTCGTTAAGGAGGAGAGACACACAGCAGCACTCAGTGAATATTAACCGGCAGCTACTTTGATGTTTAAGTAAAAGTTAGGAGACGGGTTGGTTAAAAAAATTAGGGATGCCACGAAAAAAATCAGTTGATTAGACATACGGAGATTTTTCAGCTAAAAATGGCAACAGATTGTAAATTCATACATTATTATATTGCAAGAATCTTGACAAAACATAGTTTGTTCTTTTTTACTAGTGAAAAAAGCTGGGCTTCTCAGAGGACCATGACTCACAGTTAGAGGTTAAAATTAACATGTTTTCTTATTGCACAGATAGAATCAGACTGCAGAGCTTCTACATATCTTGAAACTTTGTTTCTGGCATCATTCTATTAGCAAAGAGGTTCATAAATCTTCTTAAACAGAGCAGAGAGAGAAGTATGGAGAGCTGCAGATTTAAAGGAGAAACAGATTTACTGGGATATGCAACACGTAATAAAAGTTAACCAGAGAGTTTACAAGAAGAAAATACGCTTGGCTAAATCTAAAATGCAGCATATCCATATTTTTCTGGATGGATGGATGGAATTGAAATTTTACTTCTAGGCATGATATATTGATTTTGGCATCAGAATCGGTTGTTATTTGTTTCTTTTTTATACATTAATGTTTTTGGGCCCTATATATGTAATGCCCTAAAACTATCTAGTAATGTAATTATCAGTGTATTATGGTTCTCTTGTGTTCTCAGCAATAGGAAAGCATTCAATAATATGTTTGAGCTCATTTTTGGAAAATACAAAAACCTAATGAAAGCGTTGGGGTGGAGTAACTGTAGGTCCATCAGCCCCCACCCTTAGAGTGTCCCCACCACCTTTCATCACAAAGTTACACCCTTTGAACCTACAGAAGATTTATTTCACATACACCAACAGACAAGTTAAGAAACAGTGAGACAGCAGCTTTATTTAAAAAAAAAAACAAAAAAAAAACAGAAGATACACAAACACATTTTCAACAAACGGTATTCTGCTGGTTTGAACTCAGTATAACTTAAGATTCATAACATATTTAGTCAACAATATAAATGATGGAAATAACCATTGTTATTAATTACAGGTTCCCAAACTTTCAGTTTCTGACCCATAAAGACCCAAGAGAGTCAACTCATGACCCAAACTATTTTCTACAAATAAAATAACCATTGGTTTAATTATATATTTTTTAATTTGCTGTTTTTATCTGAATTTAAGTGTTGCTTTTATATTTTAAAGCATTTACACTAATGTTCATTCTTTGAGTTTAATTTCTGTAGTGGAACTAAAAAAACTGAACCAAATGGACCAAAAACTGTCGCAAGGAGTTACACCAAAATATTTGATTCATGTCATGCAGCTTAAATACCAAACATCTACTTACAAAAATTTATCTTAAAATTCTGGAATTTTTAAAGGATGAGGTGATTTTGGTAAAGCTGGCTGGACCTAAACAGGAAAGGTTTTATTTTCTATAATCCTAAACAGTGAAAAGTTCATGTCTTTCACAGCATCTGCAAATATTTGGTTCCAACTATATAATTATTTAATTTACAATTTCCTAAAAATGATGATTTTGAAATGACAATGATGATGTAAATAAAATCACAATTAAAGTAAAACAAATCTAAATCCTGTCTCAGGTGAAAGGCCACTTGGACTACATGCGTCAGATGGACACCATCTTGGTGGCAGTCGGAGTTCCCACCAAAGAGGTGCCAGGAGCTTCGTTTGTTCTTCCTCAGACTGTAAAAGCCGCCCAGACCGTCGTGGACGACGTGGAACAGCAAGCCAGCGCGACGCAGAATCCATCTGAGGAAGATAGAAGTTGTTCAGAAGAGGGCAGAGATTGGAGCGAGGTGGCAGAGACAGAGGAAACGGAGGATGGCTGGGATATTCCTGACATCACCGACCTGCTAGACTCTCTGAATGAGACGGAGTCAGACAATCAAAACTCTATTCCTAACAATTCACCACCTAAAAACCAGGAAACTACAAAAAACAACGGCTTAACAGAGGCTGACCAGGATGAGGAACACATATCATGGAGCTGGGATGATGCACAGTGGACTACAGAGCGCTCACACAAATAAAAACCTTTAAAGAGATTTTTATGTTCCAGGACCGGCTGTTTCCTCACTAGCTCTCATGGCCTCCAGTTATTTTTTTGAAACACAGAAGCTTCTTTGGTAGAAAACAATTTTTTTTCTTTCATCCTTGGCACAGTGAGGTGCCAGAAATACTGTGAATTGAAGCTCCTACATATGGCAGCTTTTAGAAAAACAGCCTCTAAATGAACTGCCTTGTTTCACTTCTTGATGTACTGATAATTTAATCATCATTCAGACTGATGAAGGATGAATAGTTGTTTTGTTTGAAGAACTGTAAATGGTTTATTTTCAAAATCTAAAAAAAGTAGCTCAGAACATTTAGTGATTGGTAGTTAAGTAAACTACCATCTTTTTTACTCCTACCTTATTTTTTGCTGTAGCCTGGTTTCTATAGAACAAACGACAGAGTATTAGGGCCAGGCTAGAGATAGAGATTTTTTTCTTCTATTTCGAGATTAAAGTAGTTAAATTACGAGAATAAAGTCGTAATATTACGACTT